TTTAAATTAGAGAATTTCATAATCAATTTACTTCTTCGTTGTTGCTGCTGCCAATTGTTGCCATGTACATTAATACATACATACAGTATATATATTTTATTATTTTGACGGGTTGTACTTCAACTTGACATTGAACCAAAATTAAAAACACCATGCATTTTTTTTGACTTTTCGACTTCTGTGTCAAACAAGTTTTCATCAGTTCGTTATGAGCACTCCAAGCTCTATTTTGTGGATGTTGATAATATTCATGAGCATTTTTTTTTCGCTTTTTTGTTATCTTCATCTGCTTTATGTGCATTTTTATGCGCATACCGTTTTTCGGTCATATGTATCGTTTATTGTCTTCGTTCAATTTATCATCGACATTGTTTTTGTTGTAAAGATATTCAGAGTTAATGAACTTTAGGAATTATAAATTTTTTTTTCATAAACCTAAATACAAGACATTCATACAAATATACATTTGTACATATGTATGTACATACATATGGAGGAATTGTATAATTGGCATTTGTCTCGTTGGCGCCAAAAATTCATCTTAACTTCAGAAGACCTTGCCAGATAACCTGTATATGTGCGTAAATGTGACCGAAATATATTTCCTGTATTTTGCATTATTGAAGACTGAAGAATACTGTATAATAAACATTTGGGAGCTTTGTTATTATTATCAGCGCTTAGCTATTTCTATGATGAAATGACTCGAGCTTTGAAAATATTTGATGCAGTACCTGCTGGTGGAAGCAGAGGAAGGGGAAGATCCGGTGAAGAGGGACCTGGTTTCACTTGAGATTTCCCAAAAAAAACTTTGATTCGAAGTATAAAATTACCAGATCTGGTCAGAAGATAGGAATGAAGAATTGAGTTGATATAGCCTGTCCGTCTTTTTGTCTCACCGTTTGTTTGTAAGCCAATTAGTCCCTCAGTTTTTGAGATATTTCAACCGAATTGGGCACACAGATACACTGGTATATTTGAGCGATCATTTGTCTATACTACAGTATATTGGATGAGTGCATAAGTTCGTGCCCGATTTCAAGTGCAAACTAAAATTGAAATTTTTTGAAGAAAGCGCTTTTATTAATCAATTATGTATTCGCCATCATGTTCGGCAATCCACTCCCAACGTTCAACCAATTTACGGATGCCTGATTCATAGAAATCGCGCGGTTTCTCGTTGAAAAAGGTGTCAAGGTGGTTTTTGACGTCTTCCACATTTTTAAATTTTTTTCCATTCAAATTGTTCTGCAGCGATCGAAACAAATGATAATCAGAAGGTGCAATGTCGGGTGAATATGGGGGATGCGGCATGATTTCCCAATTCATCTCCTTCAGTTTGGCCAGGGTCGGTTTTGCAACATGTGGCCTGGCGTTGTCATGATGGAAAAGAACTCCTTTGCGATTGGCCAAAATCGGACGTTTTTCATCAATTGCTTTCTTCAATTCGACCAATTGCTGACAATACTTGTTGGCAGTGATCGTTTCTCCAGCTGGCAAGAGCTCAAAATAGATCACGCCTCGGATATCCCACCAAATGCACAGCAGTACCTTCATCGGATGCAATCCACCTTTCGACATCGGTTCCGCCCCTTCGTGTGCCTGTTTCCATGTTCTTTTGCGTTGAACATTGTTGTACAGGATCCATTTTTCATCACCAGTCACGAGCCGATCCAAAAAAGGTTCGTTTTTGATCCGTCGAAGCAAAGAAATTGCTGTTGACATACGGTCCACTTTGTTTTTTTCACTCAACTGATGTGGCACCCATGTATCGAGCTTCAAAGTGTACCCAACCTTTTTTAAACGACGAAACGCAGTTGATTTGTTGACGTTCAATTCACTGGCAACCTCTTCCGTCGAAATACGTGAGTTATTCGCAACTAAAGTCCTTAGAACATCGTCATCAAGCTCAGAAGGCCGTCCACTGCGAGGTTGATCTTCGAGGTTAAAATCTCCAGAACGAAATTTCGCGAACCATTTCTTTACTGTGCGGAGTGCTGGAGCACGGTCCAAATAAACTTCGCGAATATCTTTAATTGCAGCGCCTACTGTTTTTCCTTTGCGGAATTCGTATAACATAATATGACGCATATGATCTTTTTCGTTGTCCAACTTCCATGCGTCCTTTCACTAAGCAGCTCAAATCAAAATGAAGTTATTTTATGCTTGATGAGTTCGGACTGTCACCTTTCCAACGATATATAATATGTATATATTTCTTTCACGAGCGCCATTCTCAAACGATTCGAACGGCATCCAGCGGAATCGGGCACGAACTTATGCACTCATCCAATATATACGGCAGATTTTTTAAATTTGAGATTTTCGTTCCTAAATTGGTAAAAAAAACACCTATGAGTTGGAAATTTGGTATTACACATTCGTATCTACGAATAAATATTTTCACCGAAAATAATCGAAATCGGTTATTAGGATTATATTACATATCGCCCTCCAACCATTTTTACAGATGCGAGAACTAAGATTTAATCCTAAAATAAAATACCAATAATTGATTTGACCGTCAAAGGTATAAAATGTTCAGTTTTCTTTTCTTGTTTTTTATGGTTTTGAGCAAATATTTCTGGGAGCTTTGTTTCCAAGCGACACATAAAAATTCGTTAAATCCTTTTTTCTGCGAGTACACTTGTATTTATGCACATTAATTATGAAGTAGTTGAGCTTAACTTCCTCAATAAATCAGTAAAATGTTTTCTAAATCAACTCTTAAGTGCGCTACATAAACGACTTGTATAATAAAACACACTACTCAATATATGTGTGTATGAGTATTGTCCGAAAAATATGCGTGTTCGCGCGTATTTCAAACACGTTCACATTCATTATACGTACATACTTTTAACAATTGATCCATACATATTTTAATTTCAATTCACTTTTATTGTCTACAATAACAATAACTCATTACTGTCGCACGTCGTCACACTTCCGTAGTTTGTATGCAGAGGAGTTGGTGACTTACTCGTATTTACTATTATGTACGCATGCGCGCGGATCATCTTCTGAGAAACTTTAGGGGCAATTAAATAACGAAGTATACATATACTTAAGCAAATATATTTTTTAAATCTTGAAGATGTATATGTTCGCAACAGAATCTTAAACTAATTGCCTCAGATGGGTTCAAGGACTTTTCGGATTTTAGTGAATTTTTTATGGAGTTAAAAAAATTTACAAATTTGCTAGTTTCGTGATTTAGATAGTAAATACATTTCAATGTAAATATACATACAATATATACACAATTAATAGGCAGCGAGGAAATGAAGAAGTGATAATAAGAAACATATACTGGTATACTAGTGACGGGATGAGACAAACAAAAAAGCTTGTGGACGTGTACAATACCATATTAAAAGACATAATACTGCTTAGTAAGAATAAGTTAACAATACAAGTAGGATTTCCGACAGGACATTGCCGATTGTGTAAGCATGTGCAGGGGGGTGTTAGCTCTAACGAGACTTGTCGCTTCTGGGTGTATGAATGCGAAGCTGTCGCTAGAAGAACGCTGAGACACTTAGGAGTTATTAGCAGAAGTAAAATCACATTAAATGACATCCTCCCTATTTATCTATCTATCTAACTAATGAAGCGCTTTTTGGCTGACTTTTTTCTATTTGGCTTGTGCACCCTGCAACTTATTCTACTTGTAAACTGCCTCTAAACGGGTAATTTTTTTATGAGTTTTTATTTAATGACAAAAATACACACCGAGGGCATGAATGCCTTGCCGAGACCGCAATTGTAAAAATTAATTTTATAAATTGTTGGATAAAGATCGAATCAGATCCATCAAACCGTCATGGTCAGAATGACGAGCTGAGTAAATTTAACCTTGTCCGCCTGCCTATAGCCTATATACAATACAACCGATTCCTCAAATAAACTCGGGAAATAGAAATGTTCTTCCGTAGTGTTAGATGTTGGTCCGGCCAGAATTGGAGCTCATGACCTTTCGCATGGTCTCATGCAGTGCTATTCGCTCATCTACTGCTTTCACCAACGCTTGCTTGACGAGACGTCCGAACATATCTGATACAGCTTATCGCCCCATCATTTGCAAATATGTAAATGAGCACGAATTTTTTGCCAAAGCCTTTAGCTTTCGATTACCAACTCGGTTCAAAGTACCACTTTTTGATAATAAGGAATCTGCGTTGCATTTTAAGGCTGATACGATTATTGTTTGCTGGTCTTTGAACCGACGGAATTGTCCACAACTTCGAAAATAAGAAGTGGATGTCTAAGCGTTTCGGATTGTCTTGCTTTTCACTGACAGAGCGATTTGACGTTCTTATGAAAGGTTACAACTTCTGTATTTGGCTTAACGGCTCGGGGATACCATGTAATGTATTATATTATTGGCGCTTTGTAACCGCTGAAGCGATTTTTCGGCAGATGTTTTTCCAACAAATAGAGGGACCTACAGTTTATACTAAGCCGCCTCCGAACGGTTGATGGTTTCTTTTTTTATTAGGAGCTTGATTTCATTTCAGAAATACACTCGGAGAGGTTGACATTCCATGCCGAAGGGCGACCGCAGCTTAATTAAATTTTTTATTTAAATTATTTTTCTATAACTTTTTGGATGTTAGTATGACACCAGGATTTAAACCCGAGTCTTCTTTACTTTTCTTGATATCCCAAGCTACCTTAAAATTAAAGAAGGTGGTGTGCAGCGAACCTTTCCTAACAAGACCTTTTAAAATTTAGTTCATGGTGAGTATACGGCCTGCCTGAGGCCGCACTGATAGGAAGGATCATCCCACCAATTGGTGTAAATTCAAAAACAACAAATAAAAAGACTCTGGGTCACATAACGTATAGGAAGGACAAAGCCAAAATCGAAATCGAAGTCTGATGAATTCAGCCGTTTTGTATAGGCTAAGGACCATAACAGCTGAATATGGCTTATTTTCTTCCATTTTATATTCCAATTTTTAAGCTAATTTTGCCATTTTTTTCTTTAATTTCAGCAACTAATTTTGACAAATGCAAACGAGATGATAATTTTGATAAATGTCTTGTCGAAGCTGTGAATAACGCGATTTTACTGTTAAAAGATGGTAGGATGAATTTAAAATCCAAAAATCTATTTCGATAAGGAAATAAGTTATTTTTTTTTTAAACTCTAGGAAATAAGGAGTTCGGCATACCACCTTTAGAGCCACTCGCCATTAAATCGTTGGTCATCGATTCGGGCAATGCACCTATTACACTAAAGCAGACGCTAAAAAATTTGCTCGTTCACGATATGATATCCACAAGCAAAGTCCAACGCTATCGGTATGAGAAAATTTGTTAATTTTCTTATAATTAAATTTAAAACCTCAAATTTTTTTTTCAACTAATAATTATTCCTCTATTTCAGCACTGATCTGAATAACCACCTTATTATCTGTGACAGTAAAACTGATCGCATCGAAATGGTGGGCGATTATGAAATGTCTGGTCGGATCCTATTGCTGCCAATAACTGGCAATGGCAAAGCGAATCTCACGTTGATCAATACACGCATTGAACATCGACTGATCGGCGAGCCCTTTATGCGTGACGGTGTCAAATATATGCGGCTGAAGGAGTATCGCGTCGATTTGAACCCCAAACGTGTTTATATGCAGTTCGACAATCTCTTCAATGATCGTTTGTTGTCACAAACAATGAATCGCTTCTTGAACGATAACTGGGACACAGTATTCAATGAATTGAAGATTGGTTATTCTCGTAGTTTTGGTAAAATTTTCCGCGACATTTCAAATAAACTCTTTGAAGAGATACCATTCGATTCGATATTTTTGAGTCCATAAATTAAAATTTGAGAGAGCTTTTGTTTGAAAGAGTGGTTTGAGTATTTTATAGTATTTAAGATGGCTGATTTAGAGAGATTATTTTAAGGAGCTGCGTGTGTAAGTGAAGTATTTTCTGAATTTATAATTTACATACATATATACGAGTATATATGCATATAGTTTAATATAAGCGATCATATTAATTATTGTTGTATAAAAATAAAATATTTTTAATTAAGAAAATCATATGTATTATATATAAATAAATGTTGTACATATGCATATGCATGTACCTACATATATAAATATAAACTGAGTTTGTTTGTAATTAACGGTTGGATCTTCCCACGGTGCTTCGAAAGCTAAAAAATATGACTTGTGACGCTGACGACATTGCCTTACCTGCAACTTAAAATCCCTCCAAGTCCTAGACAATGCGCTCTAATATGTCATTCTTCACAGTAAGTAACTGGGGAGTGCGGTCAGAATATAAATGATTCATAGACCGAACTGGTAGTATTCACCGGACGGTTCAAGCCATATACTTTTAAGCCGAAGACATTGATATCGCTTTTTGTACCCGGAACAAGCTAGAAAGTAATAAAAAGATATGACCTCAATCTACGTCTACAAAGCGGAGATGACTCCCATATTATTCTACCGAGTTACTGTTCGGTGACCAGTACTAGAAAAACCTATTTATAATAACAAATAGGAAAAAGTTCAACGGATGGCGTCCACAGGTTCACTGTTCTCAGCTGCTACGAAAGCCCATGAAGTTCTGTTTGAGAGACTTCCTGACCACTGCAGCCGCTTTATGGTTGCTCAATTCTAATAAGGTATTCCGACAGCCAGGCTGGGATTAAGTCCCAGTCCAGAGAAATCTTAAAGATACTCTTGACACAGGGAACTGCGAGGCCAACGAATTGGCCAGAAAGGGAACAGATAAAATCGCGTACATGACGTAAGCATATCTCTTTCCTCGGCAGTGGATGTTAATACTAATCTTCACCGAAGGGCCAGCAGCAGATGTCTAAGCGAAACCACGTGCAATGCGATTAGATAAATCTGGCCATTGATGGAAGTGAACAGAACTAAATCTCTATTCCTTCTAAACAGGACTGGCGTATTAACCGGGCACTGTCTTATGGGGACTCATGGTAGGTAGACGGACCGCTTCCCAAAAGACTTTTGTTACAACTGCAGGGAAATAGATGAAAACGAAGGCAATGTCTGTTTCCAGGTAACTAAACTATCATCTTTTACATATTCTAAGGGTAACTATCGAAGTTGAAAGCACCTTCAAAACCATTCCAATTGTAAGACTTTCAATTTTCATCAGGCTGTTAAAAATGAGTTGGCTCGTTGAAAACCCTAGACTTCTTCAAACGTGGAATTTTTCTAATTGCACTTTCACCACTACCAAATGTTTAAAAATTGTTTTCGACTTACCACACTTAGCACGTTTTCCAACCATTTTTGAGTCATCTGTTAACCGTATACCAGTTTGATACAAATTCACCACTGAAATACATCTCTGCAACAAAGTGCCAAAACAAGAAGAATCTACCAAATTCACCTAAATACAATTCCATGATTTTCCCAATTGCCTTTGTTGTCACTTTCGTATCTTTCGCTCAAAAATTGCTGCTGTTAAATAGTTCTTCAATTTCTTCTTCTTCAGTTAGCTCGTTTCATTTGTGTGTTTCTCTCGCAGACGGGATACTGGGGATACATTGAAAGTTTATCTGATTGTGACAAATCGGTGAAATTTTGTGAAAAATTTGTGAGCAAATCGATAAAAGTATCTGTTTGTATGATAAGTGTTTTTATCAAAGATCACGCACATGAGGCAAGTGTAAAAGAAAAATCAAAAGCAGCTTGGAAAAGTTAAAAAAGTATAAAAAATGCATGATCATGTACATATGTATGAATACACGTATAAGTAAAATAAATGTGCAGGATTTCGCGCTTTGAGTGAGAAAAAAAAACAAAAATATGTGAGAAAACCCGTAATATTTGCATTTAGCAATAGCAAAAACGTCATTGGTGTACAATAATTGAAGCAATAAGAAAATCCAAACGGGGAAAATTGGAAAGAAAATCAATTTTTACTGCCTAATCTTGTGCCAACAAACAAAAAGCGAATTGCTTGCGAAAGGTAACCGGTTGGAATGTAATAGTTGCATAGCTTATAAAGAAAAAAATTATATAGTAAATCTGTGAGTCACTACAAAATTATTTATTCCTGCGCAACCCTTGCAAAAAATTTGACAAAAAAAATTCAGACAGCGCCCTTTCGCAAATCGACTCACAAAATCACCACTCCTCCGGTAAGCTGGTATCTAATTGTATTTTTGTGTGTCTCGGTTTTTCGGTACTCTTACGCGCACGCCCGTTCACCTATGACCAACCTTTGCAAATCTCTACCAACTCGGTCGGTGGTTTCCGCAATACCTATTTTTTGGCAGTGTTAAATTCTTAAATAAGAAAAATATTTATTCCTTGCTCTCCCTTAAAATATACGAAAATGAACGTGTGATAAAATAAACAAAACGTTCTGGTAAGAAATACCATAGAAAATGTACTTGTAAGTGGGTGGGGGGTACATCGCTGAGGTCGTTCGACTGCGTCGACTGCACAAATGTTTTGTTTGTGCACACAAAGCCGGCAGAGAGAGGGCAGCGAATGTCAGTAAGGACAAAATAATAATAACAACAAAAGAAACAACTAAGAAAAAAATCTGCTGTAGTAGATAATATATAAAATTATTAATATAAATTAAATGCTTTCGGTCGTTGCGTTATCAGAAAGCAGAAAGTAAATCATTTAAGCCTTGTAGGTATACAAGTATGTATGTATGTGCATGTGATGTAAAAAAGTAATGTTTTTTAAATTTTTGTATTCTGTTGATTTTTACCCATTTGTTTCTTCTTCCACTCTGTTTTGTCCTTTATTTTTAATCTCTCTCTCTTATCTTTTCCTCTCACAAATCTGTATGTGTATGTGTTTCCTGTTTATTGACGGTGGGTGGAATGTGTGATAAAAATACATACATATTTGTAAATAAATTTTTTGCTTTAACGATTATGCGCTTCGATAATTCACGCGGCAATATGTTTTAAAAAAATATTTGAATTTACTTATTTTTTATTAATAAAAATTTATACGATATTTAAGTCTTTTGGTAACTGTAACCCTCAGGCTGTTGCTCGTGCTCGGGCGTGTCTCTTAAAATTATTTTCCCAATTCCAGCTAAACTTTTTTATTTTAAACCAATCATCTGCTTGAAAATTTTTTGTTGCACACTGTTATTGGTCTTAGAGCCTTCCAACAGTTTTAATAACGACCATTACTGTTAGTTACAGTAACCTTTCTAAGGCAGTGGTTATACATTTCAGAGCAGCCGATAAGCCACATTGCAGACCCTAAAAACTTTTTACATGCTCAGAAGACATCACTGACATTCTTCCTCATCAGTTTGCTGCCAAAAATTCTTGCAAGGTACTTAATATGCTTGGGGGTTTCCATGCCGTATGTCGAAGAAAAAAAGCCCAAGACAATTGATGCCTTGATAAGAATACTCTGGGCGTTATTGGGGACATACAGTCCCGATTGCTGGAAAAAGTGGTCGATATTGGGACTCTCTGTTGGAATTAAATTGAGCCTGCCGCTTCGGTCACTAGACCGAAATAATTTTTAAAACATATTTGCAAATGTTCACCAAAGTTCTTGGCCACAACATTAAATTATATGCGTTTTATTTTTTATTAAAAACCATATATAAAAAACACCCTTTAAAAAAACCGATTAACAAATTAAATTAAATTATTAATTAATTAAATTAAATGCAGTATATGTATGTATGTGTGTTTAATACACAGGTACATCGCTTTAAGACTCGAATACACTGTCGGATATAATATTTCGATTTCTTAAGCCGTTACTGGAAATCCTTCAACCGTAAACCGAGCAAACAGCACAAGCTTGCTCATAAAACCTGTACTAATTTCAGCCATTAGTACCTTAGTTATTTTTACTTTCTAGTTTATGCATATTTTCAACGGCGTTAAGTGAGTTATTTTTTGTTTATATTACTGGTGTGCTTGTTGGTTTGGTTTATGTTTCTTGCTTCGATATTATTGCATAAATAAATGGAAAGAGAAGAAGAAATAATAATGTACGAGTGTGTGTAGAAAAGTAATAAACTATTTTGTTTAATGCAGCTCAGATATAAATACGAATTTATAGACACTTGGGGGGAATTAGAATTAGAAATATTAAAATCTATACCCTGGTGCCCACAAAAACAAGTAAAAATTGGTTGGTTGTTTCGATAAGCTGAGTTGATTTAGCCTTGTATGTTTGAACGCAAAGTAGCTTCTCGATTTTTAGTTTTAGGTCCTGTAACCGATTTGTTCCGATATGAGTTTTAATGTCGCAAATCCGTCAATAGAGCATCTTAGAGCGGGAAATTTTGTATTCTACACAGGTATTAAATATATCCCACTCCACCCAATTCTCTTGTTTTTATATAATTTACTCATATTCAAAGCTTTCCTTCAAGTTTACAAGATATAAAACGAGTAAGGCATTTGATTCACATTCTTAACGTACAATACTTACATACATATATTGTGAATAAAAAGGTCTTAAGGTCTATTAAAAGGTAATTTATTATTTTTGCATTAAATTGAAGGAAATAATTGGTCATATTTAGAATTATCCGATTTATTTTCATTATGCCTCTCTCATAGAAACCCTTTTCCCTATTGGCAATTTGTTTTTCTCAGGTCCATGGGGGTTTTTTTCGTTAGCTCCTGAGCAGTGGGATCGAAAATTTCTATTATTTTGTCGACATTTTCTATATTTGGTCTTCCATAACGTGGAACATCTTTAACGTCAAATGAAGCGGAATGAAATCGAGGAAGCCAAAATTGTGCCTAAGTGGCTGTTGACGTGCCAAGACCCTAAAAACTTCACTTTGCTAGTGTCCATCTTTGACACGCGCTTAATTACTACTTAGTAAATTGATCAACACGTCTCCCGCCATCTTACTTAGAACAAACGTCTTCTAAGGTAATCCCATTGCACTTATAGAACGGGAGATAGAGATCACTAAAGCCATTTATTGCAGAAATAATGGATGACATTTTACTTGACCTACTATTTACATCTGATCACTGCATTAAAACTCTAAAGTTAATAACAATTAATGATGGAAAATGATGGAACGTCAATAAAGAGGAAAAATCATGGAAAATTTTGAATTTTAAATCAATAAATAAATAACAGTTTTTTGATGCAAATCGAAGAAAAGAATCAGGGATAGAATATTTACTGAACACAGACAAATACATATTCTCAAATGCGTGTAGTTGATGTTTGTTCATTAACATATTTAAATACTTGCGTGCTTCGGTGTGTTTATAGTGCGGGTGAAGGTTCGCTCTGATTTTTACGCGTAAGGCCAAATGTGGATTCATACATACGTACTGGTAAATGTACTTTTCATGTTGAGCTGAAAGCTTCTGAAAGGCCAAAGCATGCCGTGAAAATTCCAAAGCCAAAGCTAAAGCAGATGCAAAAACTAAGTCAAAGGTGTTGTGCAAAAAAAAAAATGCAAAAAAAAATTAAATAAAAATAATACCAAGAAATATATGTATGTACAAGTAAATTGTGTACAAGCGTACATGTCATACTTATAAACACCGCTATGTATTTATTTATGCTTTCTTAGCGCGTCTTAAACCTACATATACATATGTGTATGTATGTAAAAATAAGTCCACCTCTTTGGTGTTACCTTATCATGAGTATGAATGTACATATGTATGTTGAGTTTTTCCGAATTCCAAAAAGATATTTCGACATCTCTTATTCTGTAGATAAAAAAGTTACCTTATAACTCGAGACCGCGAACTTTTGCTGACTTCGATCTGTTTGAAGCAATTTTCGACCACTTTTCGGCACACATTGAGCGGTATTTCAGCCATAACTTGCTGTTTAAAATGCTTAAGAGTTAAAGTTTTATCCGGTTAAACACGGTCTTCCGCGTGGTCTCGCCCCACGGTGTCAAAACGCACGATCTTGTTGGCCAATTAATTTCGCCAAGCCGAGAGCTTACGCGGCATCATCTTGGTGAAACCACATGAAAGTCGATTTCTTCAATTCCTGGCCAATGAAAGTCGGTTATCATACGAACAAAGCGCTCTGTGACAGTTTTGCCGTTGTCGCTTTCAAAGGATAAGGTCCAATCAAAACTCCGTACAAAAGAGCGCAGTAAGTGTTTTTCAGTGAAATGGTCTCTCTTCCACTATTTCAGTAATCTCATAGAAATGTGCTTCGTCGCTGAAGAAACTTTGGCTGAAATAGACACATTCGGGTCCTCGGTTACACTTTCACTAACGATAGCGATATTTGAGGTGGAATGAGCAAAACGATGATGCACAGGCCCCAAAAGTATCTGTAACTGATCCAGTCTCTTCAAATATATTTAAAACTCTATCATTTGCCTGTGTTCAAAATACACCTCTGTCCTTTTGAAACCACTAAACGGATAACCCTATAAATACAAATTCCCTTGATTTTCGTCACATTCGTTTGTCATATGTACATACATACATACAGGTACATTTGCGTTTACTAGTACATAATTCTTTGTTATTCTATCATATTTCTTTTACCTTCTCCACTGTCTACTTTATTTTAATTTTTTTTCATAATCTTATTTGCTTTGATTTCTTTTGGTCTCATTTCTTGTTCGTTATTTATTTTTGTAAATAATTTCTCTTTTCTTTTTGCTCGTTTTGGTATTGACACAAATAATTTGTGTTGCTTCTTTTGCTATTGTTGTTGCTGCGCCGCTGTACATATATGGGACGTGTGCGCAATGTTGCTATTGTTGTTATAGCTTGCTTGTTAATTCGTTGAGTTCAGCTTTGACTGGCGCTGGAGCTTGACTCGGTTCTTGGTATTTGCTCCAGCAAATAGATCGTAAAGTGGCGCGAGTGGTTGTATTGGGTGAACATATGTATATGTGTGTCTGTGGCGCGAAATGGGTCTACTACTCACTTACATGTTGTGGGTGTGTGCGCACGCGTGATTGCCTTTGACTAACTCGTATTTACTTAGCTTGTTTATTACTTCAGTCTTTCCGTT